CTCGTTTCTGATGTGTGCCAACTAACCAGAGTCACGTCAGGAAAAGGAGACTCCTCCTTCTCTCGCTTTAAGGGCAAAGAAGCGAGTTGATAGGAATTAGGAGTTTCAGCCTCCAACTTGGAAGATCCAAAAACCGACCCACCCGATCGCGGCATTCTACCGGGTAGTTAGCACATTCCCAAGCCGCTAAATTAAAGAAAAAAACGGCCACGTGCCAACTAAATGGCTCTGACATACGCAGTGGTGCATCATTCCCCCGAATTAAAAAATAAAGGTGTAAGGTCTCCATCTGACGTAACAACCATACGTGTGTGTTACGCATGCACTGGTGCGACACTTTACGAAGTTGCTGCACCGTTCAAAGAAGAAGAAAAAAAAGAAAAAAAAAAAATTTACCGGGTTCTTCCCCTTTTCGTATGTGTAAAAAGTGGCAACCTTGCTTAGGAGTGGCAGGGGGACGACACGAAATGGAAAACAAACAAAAAAAAAAGTAGCAACCGCGAAAGCAGACGAACAAACGAACAGGCGAACAGGAGAGCGAATCGATGTTGCCAACATGATGCCACCTATTTATCTTACGCTCGCTTCGTTTCAATTCGTTTTCTTCTTCTCCTTCACGGGGGCTGCCGTCTCTGGGCTATTTACGAACTTGTAAATCGTGTGCACTACCAAAACGCTCGTCAGTATCATCTGCGCGGTGGAGGGGGGAGCGGTGAAGTGTGCAGCGGCAAAGCAGCAGTCTGGGGAGAGGGGGCACGCACTTCTCTGCAGAGCGAACACAACAGACGTACCATAATGACGAAGCAGATGAACCCGATGAAGGCAGTGAAGTCCGTTTTAAAGGCCTTCTCTATGATGTAATTTATGTGCCTTTTAAGCTGGGTTAATAATCTGCAAAGGGGGTGGGGGGGAAGAGGGGATGGACGGGAGGTTCCAGTATTATACACATGGTACCACCGCTACGTCATACAGCTAGCAAAAAAAAGAAAAAAAAAAAAAAAAGGAACTCATTCATTCACGCTTTTAATTACAACTGGATTCCATACATGGTCGACTTGCCAAAAGTTTCGGTCTTTGGTTTAAGGCTTCCCTTCACAATTTGGTCTGCGCAAGAGGGGGGCAATTATACGATGAATCGGTCAATCGGTCAATCGGTCAATCGGTGTAGAGGGTAAGTCCTTGGGGGAGCTCCCCTGTGCAGGTCCGCCGCGTCACCACCTGCGCGTTACCCACATATACCTATTACGTCATCAAGGTGGACCAAGTCGAAATAATCCTCGAAGTAGTACTCCTGCCACGGAAAAGGAAAAAAAAAAAAAAGAAAAACACATGTTCACATTTACGTTCACGTTCATGCTCGTGCGTACTCTCACCAGATATACAAACGGAGGTAGACCCCCCCCCTTATGTGGATTAGAACAAAATGGTCCAGTCTTACTTGGGGACGTTTGCTGAAGACGATGATTTGCGGATATTTCCTTGCGTCGGTGCCATACAGCTCGAGGTTCTTCAGGAAAAGAAAAAAAAAAAAAAAATTAAACAGTGCAAATATGCACATAGGTACATGGACATGGGAACAATTCTGCCCCTGCTCCAAGACAACAGCTCCTTATGGCATTATCTCATCTTTGGATTTCTTCCTCTTCTTTTTTTTTTTTTTTCTTTACCTCTTCGTAGTACTTCCCATCTATGTACGCAAAAATGAACTCTCCTAATCGTTTATGCCTTGAAAAAAAAGGGAAGGCATGAACGGCCAATAGGTTAGGAGTACTGACGCATAGGGGGGGTTCCACAGTAGTAATCAAACTGGGAATGGAAGTTTAATTGCAAGTAGGGCAAGTATTATCCTTTCTTTCCTTTCCCTTTTTTTACCTCTTAGCATAATGTGTAAATTGGGAGAGGTGTGCATTAATCCCTTTTTCCAAGTCCAAGAGGAGTAGTATCAGATTATTTCCTTGAAGGGGATAGAAGCGGATTGATTATGTGTTTGCAGGGCACACTTACATGACAGCCTGCGTTGCGAAGCCGTGTGCTACCCTTTTACGCTCGCATGTCTGTTATGTCTCTTCACTCCCTCTCTTTATTACGTGAAAGTATATCATATGTGTAACCATATTTATATATATACATTATGTATCTTTTTTTTTTTTTTTTTCTTTTCTTGCGCACTTGTCCCTCCATTTATACCACTGCTCCTTAGGTTAAAAAACGTGTGGTGGTCAACTTTGCTCACTAGGGGGAACCGATTTTTATTCATAAAAGACTTCAGCTCTTCAAAGTCCTGCAAATAAATTAGCATACAGGGGGAAATAAAAAAGACGCGAAGAGAAGCCAAAACGGCTCGCACTTTCAATTATGGGTGTGCCCCCTCTATCGGTGAAGCAAGTGGGGACTTACGATTTTGTTCAGGTCATAAGTCGCATGCTCCTCTGCCCCCCGCACGTGCAAGTGGTTTTCCTTGATGCTTAACTTGTCGCACAGCTCCTGAAGGGGAAGTGCAAAAAATACACACATATACTAAGTGAACGCGTGGACGAAAGCGACTCTAATCATAGCGCTGGACGCTTTTCTGTGCACGCAGCCAAACGTTCGCCCCTCCATTTAACCCCATTCTTAATGTTAATAAAGTAGCACTCTTCGCTATACAGCTTTGCCGCCTTGATTAAGTCGTCCTAGTGGGGAGGAATAAAGAAGGTAAAAAAAAGAAAAATTACACTTATAAAAATTATTGCTCCTTCATGAGAGTTGTTTATTCCCGCTGTTGTTTCGGTCTTTTTAGCCTTTTCGCTCTTTCGCTTTTTCGCTTTTCTCTTTTTTTTACGCTTAAATTTTCCGAACAAGTCAGAAAAAAGTTGTCGTCCGTTTGGCACGAATTTAACTCTTCCTCCGAATGGACAGCTAAGAAGACTGGCCTATTTTCCATGCCGGGAAAATACATCAAAAATTGTATCAACAGGAAAGGTAATTTTACGAAAAAATAAAAAAAACACTAGTAGAAGAGAAAAACAAACAAAAAATAGCGTAATTGCACGAGCCCAGTTGGATAAAGTGGTTGATGGACAAAAGGACATTTTTTTTTTTCCAAAATTTTGCTTCTCCTTCATTTACGTTGTGACATAGTTTATCCATTTTTTTATAAGACGCTCATCGTTCGTGGTGTATGAGTAGGTTGAGAGCAATTCCTTTCCCTTAAATCTGAGGTGGGTGAAGTGGAAGGGGGTGGTCAGGAAGACAAGTAGCGCGACATGGAAATGGCGTGAACAGATGGTCGAATGAGACGAAGTGGCACAGATATACCCATCCTTTTTACTTACAGTTTCAACTGGGGTATCTGTAGAACGCCGTATTGTTCGCAAACGCGCCGTCCCTTCGTGTCTTCGCAGTTAACCTGCATTGGAAGGCATCATTCTTTTCGCAGTCACCATTTTGAGAGGAAAGTGGTGCAGAGAAACACACACATGGGACGGCCTCTACCAATCGTCCCATTGGCGTAGGTCATAGTGTGCCATTCCAAGGATTACTCACTGTATGCATACTGTGGATTACCTCTCCAAAATACACCCTTCTTTTATGATCGCTTTGTACGTCAATTTTTACACTCATTATGGTGTTCCATATGCGCTTGCAGTGCACGCACTGGGGGGCGTAACTTCATTCGTTCGGAAAGGGGTACACATGCGGGTGAAAAGGACGTAGACACGTGTGTATAGAAGGAACATAACGTGAGGGGGGGAAGCGAAGTTTATGCTTCACACAGGAATGGGTGGAGAGTATCACTTATACATGTTATCTTGTATGTAGGTCTACATCGTGTTGGTTTACATGAACGTT